GGTCTCCGGCCGACTACGGTCTCCGGCCGACTACGGTCTCCGGCCGACTACGGTCTCCGGCCGACTACGGTCTCCTGCCGACTACGGTCTCCGGCCGACTACGGTCTCCGGCCGACTACGGTCTCCTGCCAATTACGGTCTCCGGCTGACTACGGTCCTTCAGGCCAAACAAACCTGTATATGTAACTCTTACCATGTAATGCAATCTATATGATGTACATTTGCTACATCAATCCAAGGCCTTCTCCTAAGGAAGGGCCTCATTTGTAATCGACTACAAATACTAGTGGATTCATTCAAACTGGGCCAGGCCCCGTGGTTTTTCTCCCTTTTTCAGGGGTTTTCCACGTAAAAACTTTGGTGTCTCTTCTGAACGCTACACCCTCTCACTTATCTGATTGTGTGCTGGATCTTCGTACAAAGCTAAGACGTTAAACTATATATTTCTCTACCGCCGCGAATATTCCAGGATGCAACAATAATTAAATTATTACTGTTTAATATATATGCACCATTTATCCTACTGAATTAAAAAAATATATATATTTTTTACTATTAGAGACTTACTAGAAATTGGATAGTAGTAAAAATAAAGTATTTTAGAGTAATGCATGCATGACAACAAAGTTTTTCTAATGATGTAAGTTAGAGCATATGTATCCATAAATTAATCTCTATCAAACTTATATGGGTGAAAAGAGAGATTTGTAGCCTTCCTACAATTATAATATCTCCATAGAACCTAGAAGGTTTAATATCATTTGTCTATGTATGCTAACATTCTATTTCAAAATACTCCTATTTTTTCCACAATTCTTTCGACGGGTTAATATATCACACTATATATTAACTACACATATAGTCATTATATGCTTTAAAATAAAAATAAAATATATTGAAAATATCTATAAACTAATTTAAGGCACAAGTGTCTGCATTAATATTTGCTATGTGTTTACATCATTAAACCAAAACATAGAGATTTAACAAAATATGGATATCACAAAAGGTGAATTCATGTTCATTTCATTCATACAAAAAAAGATATAGGAGAATAATAAAGATAAATGTCACCTAGAATGATCAATTGATATTTTCCACACTCCTTCCTCTAAGAACATAATTACTTACACAATATAATCTAAGATCTCCCAATGAAAGTATCAATCAATTTCCTAACTAATCTTAGACTTTAATCTATGTGAAAACAAAAGGAAGTCACTCAAAAATATCACACTTCACTTAAAATGATTGAACTTTAAAAATAAAAATAAAAATAATAATAATAACAAGTGCAAGAATGGACTCAGGCATCGCGGTGCTAAAAAAATATGGCACAACAGTGGTATAATATGAACTAGCAGCTCAATACTATGTCTCTGGCTCCACTATAGTGTTGGCCTGAATTGGCATGGTAATTAGTTGAACTAAAGAATCTTTTGGCTGAGTCAATGCAGCTCCTAGTTTTAGCGATTGATCCTCCATGGAGGTGTAAAAGTTGAGCATTGTCATGCATACAAGTACTATATGGTGCTACGACATTGAAATGCTCGATGCGACGGTGCTCATTTATCCCAAATAGAGCATTGCGATGCTGATTTCTAGTATAACGATGTTGTGATGCCTTGTAGCGCTGACCTTGGCTCGGCCACAGTGCCGATCTTCCAAAAATTTTAGAGTGGTTGACGTTGAGCATTGTGGATGATAACACTACGATGTTGAATCTAAGGGCACTATTGTACTTGTGTAGCACTTATGAATTTTTATATTTTCCTAAATAATTTCGGCATAAATAAAACTAAAATAATATATTTTCACTGAATTTTAACACAATAAATATGACTCAATTTATACGTAATAATATTCTTCCAACTTAAACTCTTGTTTGTCTTTAAGTAATGTTGAAATCACTTATTAATTAACTAAATAGTCAAAGTAAAAATTTTATAATTTAAAATTTCTAAAATATAAGATAACACATCATGATTTAAAAGTAATTCAAAATAATCAAAGTTATAGTTCTAATTTAAAATGTCATAATAATTATCCTAATCAATCACCCTTGTTATTGCTTACATTGAACCTAGCCACTATGAGTGTAAGTACAGATTTGACTTCTAATTTTAGAAATTAGTAATATATTGTTTAGGGATTAGTTGTGCTTGTAGTGAAATTAGAAGTTTATAAGTATTTAGTTCTCTTATCTT